GCGATATACGTAATGAACAAGAACGCAGAGGAATTTAAGAACACTCATCCTGAAGCAGTGAAAGCAATTAAGAGAAATCACTACATGGACGACTATCTGCAAAGCTTCGCATCTACAACCGAAGCAAAGAAGATATCCAAAGAAGTGAAAGACATTCACGCAAGAGCAAACTTTCATCTGAAGGGATGGGCCAGCAACAACTCGGGGGTAATATCAGAGGTAGAAGACACAAACAAAGAAAACTCCTTACAACTGACCAAGGAAGAGAAGACTCTGGGATTAAGATGGCTGGTGAAAGAAGATGCATTAGCCTTCAACGTCGGGCTACGCAACACACCGGAAGACCTGCAAGACGGCAAAAGGACTCCAACAAAAAGAGAAGTCACAAGCGCAGTAATGTCCACATTCGATCCAATGGGTTTTGCTACACCAGTTCTAATACAAGGAAAGAAACTAATCCAAGACATTTGGCGAAAGAAAATAGACTGGGATGAACCTATCAACGAACATCAAAAAGAAGCCTGGATGAAATACCTGGAAGAAGTTTCAACATTAACAAGGCTGAAGATCCCGAGATGCGTCTCACCCAAAGGCAGAAAAGGACAGCTACACACGTTCTCCGATGCGAGTGAAGAAGCCTATGCAGCAGTAGTCTACTGGAGAATAGTAGAGCCCGGAGGAAAGGTCCATGTCTCCATGATCGCCGGCAAAGCAAGGGTAACGCCGACGAAACCTGTGTCAATTCCGAGGCTAGAGCTACAAGCGGCCTTACTCGGAAGCAGACTAGCCGCCACAATCGAAGAGGAATCAGAGCTCGACATATCGAAGAAGGTTTACTGGACCGACTCCAGCACAGTACTGCAGTGGATAAAGTCAGAACCAAGGAAGTTCAAAACCTTTGTGGCCAACCGACTCGCCGAGATCGAAGAAAGGTCCAAGCCAGAAGACTGGAGATGGGTGCCAACCAAGGAGAATCCAGCGGACGACGCCACGAGGGGAACCCCAATCGAATTCGACCACAACGCCAGATGGTTCAAAGGCCCGTCATTTCTCCGTCGACCAGAAGAAGAATGGCCATTCCACGACTTCAAGCCAGAAATCGTTATGCCAGAAGAAAAAAGCAAGCAAAAGGTGTTGGCAACAATGGCAGCAGAAGACACTCTACTAAACCTAGAAAGCTTCTCGAGCTGGGAACGACTGCTGCGCACTACAGCCAGAGTGATCGCCTTTACACACCTACTAAAGAAGAGCCGTAAAGCGACCACCACCGCCGCGCGCCAGAAGGATGAATCCTGGAAACCACAAAAAATCCAGAAGAAAGAAGCACAAACCTCAATCCCGTCGACCAGCAGAAGTGAAAATAAGCGCCTATACTCACCCATAGAAGCAGAACACCTAAAAAAGGCCGAAGAGATATTAATAAAAATAAGCCAGAGCGATAGTTTTGCATCAGACATAAGAAAACTGAAGTCAGAAAAGCCATTAGAAAATTCGAGTCGACTCAAGAAAATCGACGTTTACATTGGAGACGACGGAATAATTAAATTAAGGAGCAGAACAATGAAATTCCACGATCAAAACGGAAGAATAATGAATCCTATCATTTTAGATTTTAGACGGAAAACAAAAAATAACTCGTCTAATAATACAATACTATCACGGGAAATTCCTTCACGGAAACACCGCTACAGTAATGAACGAAATTCGTCAAAGGTTCTGGATCTTGGGTTTAAGAGCAACTCTAAAAGCGGTCGCACACAGCTGTCAATGGTGCAAGACAAAGAAGAGTTCACCAGAGATACCACCAACGGGAGATCTGCCGAGTGAAAGATTGCAACATCATCAATTTCCGTTCTCCTGCACAGCTGTAGACTACTTCGGGCCGATGCAAGTCACCATCGGAAGAAGGAACGAGAAGCGCTGGGGAGCCTTATTTACCTGTCTCACAACTAGAGCAGTACATTTAGAGCTGGTACCTTCTCTCAGCACCAGCTCAATGATCATGGCACTCCGACGAATGGCAGCCAGAAGAGGAACTCCGAAAACAATATATAGCGACAACGGAACTAATTTCGTCGGAGCGAAAAGGGAATTAGAAGAGGCCGCACAGGAAAAGGGCATCCAGTGGAAGTTCATTCCCCCGGGAGCTCCAAACATGGGAGGCGCCTGGGAGAGGCTCGTACGAACAGTCAAAACGGCGCTAGCAGTAGTCCTCAATGAGAAGAGCCCGCCCGAGGAAGTACTCCATACGCTAATGACTGAGGTTGAACACATCGTTAACTCGAGACCTCTCACCCCGATCAGCATGGACCCAGGAGACGAGGAGAGCCTAACACCGAACCACTTTCTGCTGGGAAGATCATGCGGAGCTATGGCGCCGGGAGAGTTCAGCGACACGGAGCTCATCGGAAAGGCAAGCTGGAGAACCACCCAGAGACTCGCAGACCACTTCTGGAAAAGGTGGATTAAAGAATACTTACCTCTCCTGATGCCAAGGAAACTCGAAGGGAAAGACACCAGAGACCCAAGGGAAGGAGACATCGTGCTAATAGTGGACGCCACATTACCGCGAAACTCATGGCCTCGCGGTGAAATCGTCAAAACCTATCCCGGACCAGACGGAAGAACCAGGGTGCTGGACGTGCGGACATCAGGTGGAATACTTCGCCGTCCAACTCGATGTGTCATCGTGCTGGTGCCAGCGGAGTCGTCGCCACCAGAGGATGCAGTGCTGCGCACCGTGGGGGAGAATGTTAGCGACGACAAAGTGAATTCGAACATTTAATCTTAATTATTTCTTATCAGTGATTTAAAACTAAGTGATAGTATTTAATCTTAATTGTTTCCTATTCGTAAAATAAAGCTAAGTGTAAAGACTGATTAGTGCTGAAAACGGGAAAGTAAATTAAACACTTCTATTCTTATCTTAAAGTAACTTATATGAATCTATTTAATATTATTTAGGTCTGATTAGAACATTAGACGCAAGTATAAGCTTATTTTCTAGTAAGATTTCTTTTATCATAACTTTAAGAGCTATTAACACATAGGTGATTAATGTAATTCTTTTTACTTTAAAGTAATTCAAAAGAAACATTAATATGTCAATTAATCACTATATAATGTCATTTCATTATGAGAAAAATTTAAATTTTATGAAAAAAATATTGTATAGATTCTTAAGCATTAATCCTGAAAAAAGTGTTGTACATTCCTACCTCTTGGCGGCGCTACTTGTATGTTCGGCAAAAAAATACTATCCTACTCCGGAGCTAAACCGTGAAGCGACCGCGAAGCTATTTTTATTTTTTATAAGTGTAAAATAAAGGTTTATTGAATAATTTAGGTTTAGAATAATAGAAATAAGTTGTATCTATCGCTAGGAATAAATATAAATATTGTAAGATATGTTTTACCACGTTTATTAAGGAAATTGTAAATCTCTCTTAGAAAGGGTTATTCTGTGCTCTGATTGGTCAATAGATTCACTAATGCCGTGTGCGATTTTTTCTTAATTACGATTGGTTACAGCCGCTTATAAAAAAAGGGGCGTTTTTCGTGGTAAAACATTCCAAATCCGGCAATGTAATAATAAGGAATCAAGAAATAAAATAAGAAGAAACTCTCAAGAAGTGTTATTTATTGCTCATCTAACTGCTACTGTATGCTCTCCAGTTAACATCCCGCCAGCAAACCCGCTCTATTTTATCGACGCTCCCTTATACGAGCATTTACAGTAATTATCGCAAATCAACTATATTGTCCTATGTACAGAAAGAACAATGAAAATAGAAGATGAAAATTGCCAAGCAAAGCCTCAGCATAAACAAAATAGATCAAGCACAATGCAAGGCCCATAAAAAATCTATATTATGTATTGAAAGACACGGGCAATCCCTCCTTATCAATAAAAGAAGCCTAGGTATCTTGTCAGTCGCAAAACAAACTGCAGCAGCACTATTCTGCGTTGCTACGCTGGAATTCTGTGAGAGCATTATCATTTTTCAGTCGAGCTGAACCATTCGTGTTACAACCTTCATACTACAGCTTCAGTGTGGTTACACATAATATGTACGTGAACTAATCGCAATCCACTTGTGATGGTAAATGGTCATTGTAGTCTATTGTCATCTGAAGCCAACAGAGCGAATGATGTACAGATAACAATGTCACCCTTATAAAATACTACAGCTTCAGTGTGGTTCAGCACACATAATATGTACGTGAACTAATCGCAATCCACTTGTGATGGTAAATGGTCATTGTAGTCTATTGTCATCTGAAGCCAACAGAGCGAATGATGATGTACAGATAACAATGTCACCCTTATAAAATACTACAGCTTCAGTGTGGTTCAGCACACATAATATGTACGTGAACTAATCGCAATCCACTTGTGATGGTAAATGGTCATTGTAGTCTATTGTCATCTGAAGCCAACAGAGCGAATGATGATGTACAGATAACAATGTCACCCTTATAAAAATGTCAATGGCAATGCACACGTGTGTACATCGATAATTGATTTTTAACCGACTTCAAAAAAGAGAAGGTACTCAATTCGACTGTTTTTTTTTAATGTGTTACCTCAGAACTTTTTTCCAGGTGGACCAATTTGATGATTTTGTTATTTGAAAGTTGGTACTTCTCATGTTTTTCGTTTTTGAGTTATCCTTAAATATTGCTTATTTAGGATAACTTGTATTTTGATTGACTTTGACTACATTGATGATGTTCTCAATTCTTTTCTTCTTGTTTGTTGTTTTGTATGAAAGTTTTTTTGATGTGCTTACTGTTGTTGTACCTTGATTGAATAAATAAGTCACAATCCTTTAGTAATACTGACTCCCTAACCCTTTAAGTAGAAGCCCAATAATTGCTGTAAGAAGGTGGAACCTTTTCCAGAAGGAACTCCCAGTTATAAAAAGAGCTGTGGCAACTACTTAAAGCCACGAAAACGGATCCAGTATATATGTAATAATCATTACCTATTTTTACAGATTGAAGTTCTACCACAATCTAAGACAAAGAAGAAACGCGTTGCCGGTGACTTCTTTGAGCAAGAAGCGGAACTAACTTCTGAGGATGAATGGGTTGGTTCTGGTGACGAAGATGAGGCTGGCCTTGACCGAATGGAGCGGGAGGAAGGAGACGACGAAGTCTTCCATGAAGGCAAGCTTCGAAAAGAGCTGGGACAGATTCATATGTATGTAAATTATGCCAACATACAATGTTATGTTATTTATGTTAGTTATTATAAAAAAATTAAGTAACAGCCTACATTCATCCCACCTGTGGGCACATTTTACATATTTCTGCAATGGTTTTATGGATTGGAAAGAGAACCCCTAAGCTGCCTTAATGTTCTGCTGCCAATTTCCTCTCATAAATTTTCTTTAGCCGTAAAGCATGTAGTTATCATCACTTCGAATTGCAAATTGGAATTTCTTTGATAGATTTAGAAGTTCTAACGTCATCTGTTATTTTAAGATATGCGCTTATATCCTTAGATGCAATGCCCCAGCATTATTTTTCTGAATAATGTAAATTTAAAGTGATCATTATAACTTTGTGTAAGTAGTAAAAAATAAAATAATAATAATAATGATGTCCTCCAGACCGAATTTCGGCCACGGTGGTGTGTCTCAACGGAGGCTAGCCATCGGTGCAGGACAGGATTATAGTACCCAAATGTATGCGCAAGCACAGGTGCACTCTCTATTCCCTCACTCTCATAATCCGATGGGACGGTAAACCGACACGACCGAAGAGAGATCAGGCGCAGGATCAACGGCTTTACGTGCCTTCCGGGGCACGGGGGTGAGACACCGCCAACTTCCTGACTCCGGGCAGCTACTGAGAATTTCTTGACGGAAAAACTCAATAATTAGTTTTTTGGCCCGACCCGGGATTCGAACCCAGGACCTCATGATCAGCAGTCGCACTACTATAACCACTAGAGTCACTAGACCAACGAGGCAGTCAAAAAAATAAATAAATAATAAAAATATAAATATAAATAAATACAATATAAATAATAATAAATAAAAATATAAATAAATAAAAAATTAAATACAATGATACTTACTGAACCTTTGTAGCTCAAGGGCTAAGCGCTCGCTGTAAATTTCACAGTTCTTTCCCCGCCGGCACCAATAAAATTGTTAATTGCAATTTTAAGTGCCGCTTTACCATGTGCTCGACGGTGAAGAAAAACATCGTGAGGAAACCTGCATGTCTGAGAAATAACAAAAAAAATATTTCGAAGACATGCGAAGTTTGCCAACACGTATTGAAGCAGCGCGGTTGGCATTTCCTTACTCTAAAACTCAGAAATGAGAGGAGGCCTGTGCCCAGCATTGGGACGTACGTATGCTATATGTAACTTAATTGGCACTTATTCAATTTTTGGTAAAGCCTGCCTCTTTTTGTTTAATGTTAATTAAAAACATATATGATCCAGCGCTGTGCAGAAATCGCGTAAGCACCGGGCAAGCGTCGTGATTACGGCAAAACTATCCTAAAATAGGAAAAATAGCAAAATAAGGATAATTAAAAAAATTACGCAATATGATTACAGGCGGGATGTTCTCGATCAAGACAAACGAGAAGTGAGACTGCTACAAGAGTTGCTTTTTGAAGATGGAGATTTAGGCGATGGCCACAGACAGCGCAAGTTCCGGTGGAGGAATGCAGGTACTTATATTATCTAGTAAGCATATTTCGTAAGCAATTATGCGCACGTGGCATGTAATAACGGCGTAAAGTAATCACCTGCTCTCGGCTCATGGATTTGTAGATGTCATTTGTTTACATTGTACATGCTAAGAATCGACTACATTTTTCTTATTGTTTAACAAATGGTTTAATTGGACTTTGATCATCATTATCATTACAGCCCTTCACAAGTCCACTGCTGAACATAGGCCTCCCTCAGGGAAAGCCACAAAGTACGGTCCTGAGCCACCTGCATCCATCGACTTCCTGGACTGTGATAATTAAAAGTAATAGGTTTTTGTGTAATAAATGTCTATCCATGTTAACAATTAATAAAACAACCACCTGAGCCTTATGTAATCATAAGGCTCAGGTTGTTTTAAACACCTCAAAATATTATCGTCGTCGAGACCACAGTAGTTCCACTCGTATGAGAATACTCTAACCCGTATTATTTTGATATTATCATCCTGTGATAATATGGTGATAAAAAAAACTGCCTGATTAGCATGCATATGGAAGCGACCTATGTTTAGGAATGAACTTTTATAGACTAACTAATTACTGAATGAAATGTATGTGATGTTTTGCTCCTACCTATCTTTGTTTGAAGTTGATTGCAACTGTGAATGAACTGCAGTAGTTACTTGCATCATATGATTAAAACATCTTTAAATAATTAGATTTCTCTCATTATAATACGAGGGCGACTCTGAAAGTTTTTAGAACTGGCCACTTGTAAACGATATAATAAAAAAATAAGTTCAAGTTTTGAAAATGGAACTTTTTGCCAATATTATTGTGTATGTATTTTATTAATTTGTCATTTTTTACGATTTGGCAGCAAATTGAAAATTGTCTGTGTCACGTCAGCATGAATTTAACGCGGGAAAATTTTCGTACAATGATTTTAATGACTTTCGACGTTATTTAAGTCAACAAGAAAATTATGATAGACTTTAATTGGCCTTTCACGATGAATTCCCATCTCGTGCCACTGTTTACAACATGTTTATTGGGTTTAAACATGGTCGCACTAATCTCACCGATGATGTACGTGAGGGACAACCTTCTACGGCGACGACTGAAGATAACATCAGTGTTGTGCGGCGTCACACGTCACATCAGTGTTATCAGCAGATTCGGACAGGCTTAGGCATCGGTATGTGTCAAGTGCACAAAATCCTCCATGAACATTTAGTGGTCAGGAAGCTTGTGCCCGGTGGACACCTCATAATTTGACAGAGGCCCAAAAACTCCGTCGTGTTGATTGGTGTCGTGAAATGGTTCATAGATTTAACGGAGGTGACTCAAATGCTGTGTTCGACATACTTACGGGTGACGAAAGCTAGATTTATTGTTATGATCCTGAAACTAAGAGACAGTCTGCTCTCTGAGTATTTCCTTCCGAGGAGTTGCCAACTAAAGTGACAGGTCAAAGCGTGGATAAAAAGATGGTGGCCTCGTTCTTCGGAAGGACAGGTCATTACGCAACCATTGTTTTTGAGGATCGAAAAACAGTTACTGCAGAGTGGTACACTAACAATTGTTTGCCACTTGGAAAGAAATGACCTCGCTGTGGGACCCTCCTTAACCACGACAACGCCTCGTCGCACACCGCCAAGCACAACATCAACTACTTGTCGACGTCAGACGTGGAATTCCTGGGTCATTCGTCCTACAGACCCAACCTCAAACCTTACGATTTTTATTTATATCCGATATTAAAAAAAGGAAAACTTCAAGGAAAACGTTTTATAGACGCTGAGGAAGCAGTGGCTGCGTTTCAAAATGCCGTCTAAGAGACCCCTAAGGACGAGTGCGATGCAGCGATGTATTGATGAAAATGGAAACTATTTTGAAAAGATATAATAAAACTAATAACTTGCTAGTTTGTTCAATTTATGATTTTCTAAGAACTTTCAGTGTCATCCTCGTAATAATAATCTCTAAATAAAATAAAACAATAGCTGTCGGTTAGTCTCGCTGAAACTCAAAAACGGCTTGACCGATTTTGATATTTTTTTTGTATGTCGAGATCCAAAAATCAATTGTGCGAGCCGGGGTGGATCGCAAGTATAGTTATTTATTGCCTTTAATTAAAAATTTGCGTCATGTCATGATATCCAAAGAATGAAGAAGTAGAGCTCGGCTTGTATTATAATGGTACTGTCTGCCATTACCAGCCATGATTGATTTTTATTTATTCCCATCTCCCTAAGATGTGCAGAATCATTGGAAGCATTGATAATTTAACTAAAGTAGTAATTGGAAATAGTTTTAATTAAAGTTGCGTGCTCGTGTGTAACAGTTTTGATAATTGTCTTTTTGGGAGAAAAATTGTCTTATTATGACTAAATACTCAAAAGCTGCTCAATTTAAGATGCCCTTAAGTGTCTTGCTGTCTCTGTCACTTTAAGTCACAGCGAATGTGACACCTCGAGACTTAACGACATTTTAAATTGAGTAGCAGTTGAGTTTGGACATTAGGGTTATTTACTTTCTACACGGATTATTCTAATTTTCTTTAGCAAGTTACCAATCGCAGAGAACAGTGTCGTGTAGCTGTATAACCCAGTATCCTAAGCCATATCCGATTTTTAGCGAGACTAACGAAAATCAGTTGATTTTATATATAGAGATTATTAATAATAATAATAATAACTAATATTCGTAAATACATTGATAATAACAATAAACAACTCAACTATTACAATGTAATAATTCAATCATACAATAAAAAATAAAAAGTATTTTAATTTATATTTAATTTGGTAAAGGAGGAGAAAGATTATTTTATTCCAATGGTATATCTTCTTTTTTTTTTCAGATGACGTGGAAGAGCTTGATGCTCCCTTTGATGAAATAACTGAAACTCCAGAAGAAGAGTTTGAATCTGAGGAACAGTGGAGAAAGCAGAGACATGAGAGAGAAGTGTTTTTAAGAAAAATGGTAAAAAAATGGTGGCAAGAACCTATTTATCATTTGTGTAATATATGATAAGGCGAATTACTTCATGTCCTTTTTGTAATGCTTGAGGCACTTACTACCTTACTCAGACAATAAGATTATATACAAACCTGAAAAATAACAATTTGTGTTTGTATAAAAAAAATTCTGCACTAACTTGTTAAATTCGAATCCATGAGCTTACCATACTTCAAATACCGTTACTTCTAAGATATGCTATTGTCATTTACGGTCATTCATTTGTTTATAACAACCTATCACAAGACCACTGCTTAACATAGCCCTCCCTCTTAGATTTCTTCATGGAGGGTAATTCGACATTGTTGCAACGCTTGGTTCGCAGGTTGATAACTGCAGTTTTGCTGCAGTTATATTAGTAGTATAGTTGTAGCACGAATGGGTCGGCTCGACCGGGGAAGGACCACGCTCTCACAGAATACCAGCGTGAAATAGTAGCTTAATGCTGCTGTATTTCGTATGGTGATTGTAGAGAACCGGAGACCCTTTTTACTGGAAACGAGGCATTCCACCTAAGTCCTCACGGATGACAACGCATCTGCATTTTGATTCGTAATCGAGGATAGATGTAAATGTCTATGGGCCGCAGCAACCACTTACCATCAGGTGGACTGTGTGCTCGTTTGTCAGCCTATTCTATAAAAAAAATTGTTATCAGGAAGATGCTACTGTCCCATCACCTGTTTCAATATACCTCTGTCGCGTGTTACGACATCCAAGGGATAATATGGGGTAGTGGATATTCTTACGTTGTCACATTACTCGCCACTTATTTTATTATAGAATGTTTATAATTTGAAATATTTCTTTCTTTCTTTTTGATAAAAATAACACGCCACTACTCAGCTGCAAAACAACTGATAAACTTACAAAAATAAAATTTACGTTACTGCCCCAAAAAAAAAGATTTTGTTTCTTGGGTGTTTATTTGTTTTTATAATTTACACATTCAACAGCTTGACAGTAATAATGTCCTCCAGACCAAATTCCGGCCACGGCGGCCTGCCTCCACGGAGGTTAGCCATCGGCGCAGGACAGGATTATAGTGCCCAAGTGTACGCGCAAGCACAGGTGCACTCTCTATTCCCTCACCTCATAATCCGATGGCACGGTAAACCGACACGACCGGAGAGAGGTCAGGCGCAGAACCAACAACTTTACGTGCTTTCCGAGGCACGGGGGTGAGACACCCCCAACTTCCTGACTCCGGGAAACTACTGAGAATATCTTGACGGAAAAACTCAATAATTAATTTTTTGGCCCGACCCGGGATTCGAACCCAGGACCTCATGATCAGCAGTCGCACTACTACAATCACTAGACCAACGAGGCAGTCAGCTTGACCGTATATGAAGTACAGCGGGTAATCACGTTGACTTTCTACAATCGTTTACTAGAAAACTAAAAAATGAACGAAAATGACTGTCAATGTTAAGTCACGTGAATGCCATGTGACTTATGACTGCATTCGTTTTTATAGTGTTCTATTAGAGTTAAGGATTGCAGAAAGGAAACTTGGCTAACCCCATAGCATCGCAGATGAAACCCGCAACACCTGCGACCTGCATCTATTAAACCGTAGATGCACAGACCGCGGCCCGCCGGTCGAATACTGGTGGCCCGCCGACAGCAAAAATAATACTCTCGTACATTCGAAAAATATTTAATTATAATCCAGAATAAAACCAAAAAAAATATGTTCGAAAAGTAATTTGAAACTCGCGCGCGCGCTCATAAGTGCGCTTATCGGTAATAGCGGTCGGTAATGTTCGTGCTGATCTCGGTTAAATTCGTTTTCTTGAGGAACCGCCGCGGCCGGCGGCGCGGCGTCGACGGCAGCGCGGTGGCGGCTTATCCACGGGTTATATTGTTAGAGCAAGCGAGATAGCAATAGTCCCGAATTCCCGATTGCTCGCGTAGGTAGATACATGAAGCTTCCAGAGTCGGTTTCGTGATTTCTCCAGACAGTTTTCGACTCTATACGTGCGGTATAAAAGCCACGCTAACCGCAGCGACCGACAGTTCGGTTTTAACTTGAGTGAAGTATCAATAGTTCTAGTGTAGATTTTAACTCGACTAGCCGGTGTCATATATTTTGATCCACATTCAACGTAGATTTCCCGTCAAGTGCCGTGTATAAATTGTGTTGTGAAATCGTAAGTAAAACTCTATTATTAAGTGTTTCCCTAGCTATTTAATCAATTATTTTTGGTAATTTAGAAAAGGATGGGTAATTTAAGTAGGTACTGTAATTGTTTTTAGGTGCTGTGTTAATCCTAGCCAGGATTAGAACGCAACATGGACAAGCCAGGACCTAGTAAAAAACGTAAGGTTAAAGATGAAAATCGGCAGTTTCAAGAAATTTGGACTGAGAAATACTTTTTTGTATGGTCGCATAACAAAGTCGTTTGTTTAATTTGCAAGAATTCTGTTGCGATTGCAAAGGAATATAATGTAAAAAGGCACTATGAAACGCCGGATCCTACTTTTACCAAGTTTACAGGCGAATTAAGAAAGCAAAAAATGTTGTCTTTAAAACGGGTAGCTTATTGGTCAGCAAGCTATGTTTACAAAACCCATTCAAGATTCAGAAACAGCGAAAGTCGAACGCAAAAGTCGACAGCAAAGCGAAGTCGCCCCTTCAATGATGGGGATTTTGTAAAAGAATGCATAGAAATTGCCGCTAAGAAAATGTGTCCAGAAGCAGCAAAAAGTTTGAGAAAATTTAACTGAATCGTATGACTATCCAAAGACGAATTATGTTTTTTTTTTCAGGTAATATTGCGGAAAATTAAATGAAAAAACTAAGATCATTGAATTTTTTTCATTAGCACTCGATGAATCCACTGCTATTAGTTCCACAGCTCAACTTCTGATATTCATACGAGGTGTTACTCAATATTTTGAAGTCTTAGAAGAGTTATTAGGAATGTGTTCATTGAAAGGTCAAACCAGAGGAGTTGATGTACTCTCTGTAATGTACTTTTGGATGCGTGTTCAAAAACTGATTTGGACTTATTAAAATTATCGGGAGTTGCGACTGACGGTGCTCCTTCGATGATTGGTGTCAATTCTGGGCTAGTTACTTAGCTGAAAAAGCATCTGCAAGAAAAAAACATAAACGCTGAAAATCTCATGCAGTTTCACTGCATTATACACCAAGAAGCGCTCTGTTCTAAAAAAAATTGAATTTCAAAATGTCATGAAAGTGGTAGTTTCGACTGTAAATTTCATAAAATCACGAGGACTCAATCACAGGCAATTCAAACAATTCCTTGATGACATCGAAAGCGAATATGGAGATTTACTGTATTATACAGAAGTAAGGTGGCTAAGTCGTGGATTGACACTGGAACGATTTCTAAATTTAATAGAAGAAATTGGAATATTACTGGCGGAAAAGCAAAGGGATGTCCCGGAACTGAAGAATTCTGATTGGTTGTGTGATTTGGCTTTTTTAGTTGATATTACAAATCATTTGAATGTCTTGAACACATGGCTTGAAGGCAAAAATCAACTGATATCCTAGCTCTACGCTCATGTATCATCTTTCAATGCAAGCTGACACTTTTCAAATCGCAATTGAATTCTGGAAATTACAATCATTTTCCGAATTATAAGAAAATGGCTGAAAAATTCAACAAAACCGATTAATTTCAGTTGTGTAGAAAAGCTAGATATTTAGATGCAATCTTTTTTAAGACAGATTTTCGGAGTTTAAAAAAAGTGAAACCTCTGTTGGACATATTCAGCAATCCTTTCACGATTTCAGATGAAAATGCGCCAGAGTCAATGCAGTTAAAAATTATAGACATTCAAAACGACCAAGATTTACGCAACAAATTCAACGAAGGAAACTTGCTGAACTTTTACCGCTGCATTGATAAAAATACGTACAAAGAGTTGCGCATAAACGCTCTGAAATGTGCCAGCTTATTTGGTTCCACCTATATATGTGAACAAACCTTTTCAATACTAAATAATAATAAAAGAAAAAATCGAAACCGCCTTGCAAATAAAAGTTTGGAAGCAGTTTTACGTGTTGCTACAAGTAAATTTGAGCCAAATATAAAAAAGATTGGAAGCACTATGCAGTGCCACGATTCAAATTAATAAATTCTTTTTCAATTTTAATACATTATTATCAATTCTCTATTGTCCTTAATTACCTCTACTCCTGGCGGCCCGCCATCAGTTCATACTTTGCCCGAGTGGTCTCTAGTCTTAATAAGTCTGTGCATCACTGTATTAAACAATCAACATAAATGAAATCATCGATAAGTGGACATGAATGTCATATGACTTAACACAGAGATAATATGTCTATCTCGTTCATTTTTATAGTTTCCTACTAGCGTTAGCAATTGTATAAAGAGAAGTAGACTATTTATTTGTTTAGTTTTGAATCCACCTATCTTCAGCTTAATAAACTACTTACAATTAGCAGAGACTTAAAACTAATAATGGCTTAGTCACCAGCTGAAATTTCGTACGCGTAGACCTAAAATTATATTATACCAACAGGATGGACACAATCAACTTAACAAATGTATCATTTAATAATTTAATTAATCGTTGCAATCGAAGTGTATTTTGATATTTTTTTTAATATAATGAACACTTCATCTATATACAGGGTTATTTTTCAAAGAGTATCCAAATTTTTTAAAGTTTAATTATAAAAATATTGATATTCCGTTATTACAGTTTTTTTAATACTAGTAAATAAGGCTTTAACTTTTATTTGAAAATATCCCACATTGAATGTGATTTATGGGCAACAACGGGTACGCGCGCTCTTTTGTGTGCAATTTAATTCACAATGTTTTTGCCGACCGAGCGACCCTTACGAATGAAGCATAACCATGCATTCTGAATTTCAAAAAATAAATAGGACAATGTTTGAGATTTTTTTAATTAAATTTTCTTTACCATTCGCTTATATTACTTATTCTGAACTTTCGCAGCAAATTTGGGCGTATATTGGAAAATAAACCTGTATAATTCAGCCCTCAGTGGATATTTTATGATTAAATAAATATTTTACGATTAAATAATTATTTGTCACCATAACATACGATATATTGGCATCAGTACTTTTCACAGATACTTTTACTATTTAATAAGAAAACCTTGGTTGAAATAACTTGAGATTTTTTAGGCAATAATATTATGTATTTTGAAATCATTATTTTTTATTTCAGAAAGGTATTGATGAAGAAGACGTCCAAAACGTCAGTATAAATAGGACAACTATAATAAAAGCAAATCTATGCTCGCGAACGATGTCGAGTATAATATCGGAAACAAATACAAGTTTAAGTGAAAAGATTGAAAAGAATGTTGTTGTTGAAAAGAAGACTTATAGAGACGTGCCTAGTCCCAAGAAACCATTTACCCTCTTTCAGGTAAGCAATAGGACATGTTAAAAAGTTAAAGTTCATCATTTCTGACGAATCATTTTAGTAACGGGCAGGGAAGTGTCCGCCGTGCTGCCCCGATGCGTGTTGGCGAACTTCACAAGTCTGCAAAAGTCTGGGAAAAAGGGAAGAAAATATTTTTTTCCTTTTTTCCCAGACATGATCACGATGTTTTCATCACCGCTGAACACGTGGTAAATCAGAACTTCAAAAATTGCAATTAGCGGTTTTATTGGTGCCGGCGGGGATCGAACCCGGTATGCTCGCGTACAGTGAAATTTACAGCGAGCGCTAACCATCCGAGCTACTAAGGCTCAGATGGTTAGATATGTAATAAGCAATTTTTTATTAGAAGTGTTGAAAAACATTTAATTAAAACCGCTTTCCATTACAGCCTATAAAAGTCCACTCCTGAACATAGGTCTCCCTCACAGATTTCCTCATGGCAGGATTTTGCCATAGTGGCCACGCTTGGCAAGTGGGTTGACAATCGCAGTTTGTTATTATTTTAGAGTTGTTATCAGGAAGATGCTACTGCCTATCTCCTGTTTAAATTTCACCTCTTACGACACCCACGGGACGATATGGGGTTATGGCACAAATTAACTACTAATAGATACCGCATCAACGAATATTTGTTTTGTTTCGACTTCACCAAATTTTGTGCCACGCATGAGTTGCGGGGGACGTGTCAAATGCGCTGTGATTGGATATTTCAAGGTTGCACTTAGAATGGACCGAACCGTAGTAATGGGACAGGGTTGGGACATTGATCGATAAATTTGCGATTTATTTATTATTGATAAGTAAATAATTTTTATTTGAAATTATTAAAAAATAATATATATATATATATATATATATATATATATATATATATATATATATATAACAACAATCACAATCTAATAAGTTCTTAAATTTACGCGAACACTAAACATTGCATAAAACTATATATACAGATTTTATCGCGTTTAATTAACTTATTTTAACTTATTTTTAATCCCCGACGTTTAGGGTGCTAAAGGAAAGCTAAAGAATTATTTGCCTCTAACTCCATTGTGAATTTATGGACTTCAGGTGATCTAAAAATGCAGTTGCTTTGTCAGATTCTAAAATTTTGAAAGTGTTGTCTACTTACCGCTTGTAGAATCTTGGATTTACAGGAGCAGTAAGAAGGGCTTTCTCCTCAAAGTCCTCCATGAATATGTTGGTGACTATGGGGGATACAGGTGAGCCCATCTACTTGCTTATAGAAATTTTCCTTCCACAATAGATAGCCAGATATGAAGCAGTGTTTGAGTAATACTGCATATTCTGCAGGCATGTTGTTATCTTCTAGCTTCCGAGTTACAATTAAGATGCAGTTTTCAATAGGCAGGCATGTAAATAGTGACTTAACATCAAAACTGACCATAGTTTGATTGTCAGTGAGATGTAGGTCTTTTATTTCCCTAACGAAATGGTATAAATCCTTTGTGTGTGCTCTGGTATGTCCTCTCGTTGGTGACAGTATTTTTGCCAAGTGTTGCGCTATCTTATAAGTCAGTGAATCGATCTGGATCATTATGGGACGTAGTGGAGCGTTTGGTTTGTGTATTATATTGATTTTTAAAATGGATGAGCTTAGTATAAAATTGTCTCACAGAATTTTAAGGATCTGTTTTCCTGGATAAGTAAAGTAATCTTATGTCTATGTATTTTTCCATTACACTCTTAGCTAAATCAATGACATGATTACAAGATGAAGTGATTTTTTATTTCAGGAAAGATATCCTCATTAACAAAACTTCTTAATGTTTGTGTTACAAGACGGAATTTGTCTTTGTAATATATTTTAGAACCTTGATATGAATCGATTGAGCTTCGAATGACCTGTTCAGATCGTCTGCAAATTTTGGTGACCATATTGGTCGGGAACAGTAGTCCTCCTGCATCTCATGCGTAAATTAAACTGGTTTTTCTCTCATCTAGGGATATTAAAGCTTTAACGCACTTATTACATTTGATATTTTTTAAGTAATGAACAACAGCGCCAGCGAAATATTCTATTATGCTTTCTGAAAACTGAGATAACGGCATATTATGTAAGGAATTAATAAAAGTTTCATCAACACGCTCCTCAGTCTCGCAAGTTTCACCCCTTTCAGTCGTCATATTTATGCGTTTTATAGCTGAAGAACAGTTTAATATGGCTATATGTTCTAATGCTATACAATTACCGGTATTAATCTTGCAGTTCCATGTGTACAAGCATTTTTCTGTAAATTTCATGAAACTGTTTTGGTGTTGGATTGTTATTAGCCCCTCCATGTGATCTCATATTGTAGAAAAACAGTTCAATGTGGTCTTGACTGATACGGTGAAACGATATATAAGGACAGCGATGGTTCTTTATCAAATCATTAAATAAAAATTTTGCACTTTCAATACATATACAAAGTCCTAAAAATCTGGTAAGTCTCGGTGTATCAATTAATCGCGTCTGCTTATTTTTGAAATCAGTTGTCAAATTCATCAACACATTTTTGCACATTTCAAGTTTTGATAAAACAACTTCAGAGTTTTCAGCGTTTAATGCCCTTTTCAGTCCATATCCACACACTTTCGAATCTAAGATATCGAATAAGTCGTTTAAGACTAACAACATATTAGCTGTTCCATCTATTCCTTGAAACTGGGATATCATCAAGGTATTTTTACAAAATTGGAGAGCTATTGATACACTTCTGCTAAACAATTGAGTGGCAAGCTTCACTTTCATAATATTCTTTTTATAAAAACAAGTGTTCAGATCGTAGCTTGTTAGCTGCGTGAAATTTTTCGTCTTCTTGCAACTGGTTTAACATCTCAATATGACTCCATTTTATATCTTTGCCTTCAGCATTCTTAAATTCCCTGTAATGTTCAAAACTATTTCTAACTAATTTTATCATGTGAGCTGGGTCGAAAAAGATAGCTATTTCATTATTTTGTACTTTAAAAACAGTTTTCAAATTATTAGGATTTAAATCGCAGCCGATTTTCTTGGCCATTGCTATATTGGCTGGACATCTATCAAAGGTCACAGCTTTGACTACTAATCCCGCTTCAAGGCATAACTCAATAGCTTGAGTTAGTTAAAATTTGTTTTGGTCAGCTGTCACTTTATTAATGAAAAAATACCCAATAGGTACTTTCCATTTACCGTGTAATGCAATTACTAGAAAAACTAATGCGTCGGTACATTCTTCTCTACAGTCAGAATCTACACTTCCACCGTAATCTACATAGCCGTATGTCTTTTCTACTTTCCTCTCAATTTTCATTTCATCAAAAACAATACAGCAATAAATAGGCCGATTTGTCTGTTTGCCTTAAATTTAAGAGCATCAAAAGCTCCCTTTGTGAAACCTGGACGACCATCTATAGATCTGTACCATTTTCCTAGTGTCTTTACAGAGGGTAAACAAGTATTAAATGTCTTGCGTACATAATTATAAGCCTTTGTTGATTAAAAATTTAAGATAAGTGCAAAAGCTCTCAACTGCGGTGAATATTTTTTTCTTACAATTTTTCCTGATTTTCCTTTCAATATTTGACGACGAATAATTTCACTACATTTAACCCCTAAAGAACTTAATGCGTCATTGTTTTCGGCTGTTAATAAATTTTTGTGCTCTAATTCTATCAATAATGCCTTCAAAGAAACTATTTGTCTTTTTAGTCTTCTGTTGGAATCGCTTAACTTTTTAATTTTTTTGTCTTTTTTGTTCACTACGTTGGATAATTCGATGATTCTTCTACAAAGATATTTTTTCACTGGAGTATCAAATGCAGGTGGCGTATCAGGAGTAGGATAAAATTATCTTTTTTGTTTTGTAGGCGTTTCTAAACAATGGCTCTGATTTTTAGGTGTTAGCGGGTTATTAGCAGCGTCTTTCAGCGGTGTATCACCAATCTAAAATACGTATTCGTTTATTTTAGAATATTATCAATAATTATTTAGAAACTTATAATGCATTTTTAATTAATTTATACAAGTTATAAACATATCATTAATTCTTATTATAATCATACCGCTTTTTTAAACGATGTGCCGGCCATAGGAATTTCTGTATTTTTAGCTGCAATATCTGCACCTGCACTTTGGTAGGAACGGGTGCCTAAAAGTACTACTTTTAGGCACCCGTCCGTCCGTTATTAATTACTAAACCATACGGTACATCTTTCAAATTTAGATGTACTTAATAATAATAGGATATTACTGAAGTTCATGTAACACTAGAATAGCAAGTCAAAACAATAATCACATTATAACTTTCACTTTTTTTATGATTTATAAATCCGTTAAAAATAGTTTAATTTCGACGTGTATCATTCGCCTAAATATTAGAATATCACGTTACAATCAACCACTTAATGCTATTACTTATTGTGTGATTTACATTGGTACTAAAATAAAATGAAAAAGCATACTAAAACTGGCAAGTATAGAGATGGTATAGCGGAATCCAACAGCCTTCTATGGTTTTTCATACAATGAAGATTGTCTTCCGTGAAGTGTCTTGAGCATATCACACTATTTTTGTGGGAAACCATTGATCCCATCGACAAGTTGCGTCGATCCACATCTTTTTCTTTTCGGGGCATTTAGGACACCTATAACATATAGGTACCGCATACATTATACGTCACTATTTTTATATAATAATGACTACAAAAAAAATGTGAACGATGACCAAACAAATATCGACTTATAAATCACAACACTATCGTTACACGTGCCGTCGTTAGACAAAGACAACTATTTTAATTTACATAATGAGTGAAAGAGACATTTCAAAAAGACATCAACGGGTGCTTAATTGTTATCACTTTGCACCATTATATTACCAGTATAAGTTGAACTCTGGTGCAGTTGAAATAAGTTAACGTAATAAGAATAGAATTTACTTACCGATGAGATGTCTTGAACCATCTTTTTGATAACTGGATGTCTTAGCTGACTTGCCACACCATTTCACTGCACAGGAAGCCCTTTGTAATGTATTTTGATACAAAACTATTTTTAAATTGTCAAAAACTCGGAGGCGTCTACGGGTCACAAACTTGGTCGACAATGATATCGTGATTCATAGCGTCACTTCATATGCTAGCTACAGCAAGCATGTGTTGCGCGCGTTTGTGGCCCTGTATGCGGAATCTATTAGGAGGTAATCTGTGGGTTATGGGGTAGAGATATTCTTACAGCGCCACTACACGAAACTTCTAATTTACAATGTTTTGACGGCTCGGTTGTGTAGTGGCTAAGTAATTACTTGCGAAGCTGCAGGGCTGCTGTTTCGAATACCGCACGGAACACACGGTTCACAAACAGATAGTGCAATGCCTGGAGTGATATATGTTTAAGCCAAAAAACATGCATCTTTCATCTGGAGTAATTGAAAACCTGATAAAGTAAATGGTTTTCGATGATTATCTCATAAAAATATCAGGTTTTCCGTTAAGATATTCTCAGCAGCAACCCGAAGTCTCAAAGTTGGCAGTGTGTCACAACCCACACCTCGGAAAGCACGTCAGGTTTGGTCCTGCGCCTGATCTCTCTCTGGTTGTGCCGGATTATTGTCCCATCGGACTATGAGAGTGAGGGAATTAAGAGTGCACTTGTTCTTGTGCAAATGGCTAGTCTCAATCGAGATTAACCGCCGTGACTGACATTCTGGTCTGGAGTACATTATCACAGATACTTTATAATAATAAAAATAATGTTTCATCTTGGGTTATTTTACGAGGCATCTCACAATCCGTTACTTACTGTGTATGTTGTTTGTTTCAGCAAAATTATCATGGTTCACTATTGTCACGCGGTAAGGGAGCACTTGCCCGCTTAGCGGCGATAGCTACACCTCTCGCTGGTGACAGTGACGATGCGCCCAAAGTTTCAGCACCCACTAATAGAAGGAACTTTGTTTTTGCTTCACTAACACCGGATGATGTTGAACCTAAGGTAATCATTTATCCATTAAAAATGTCCTTAAATTAAAAAAAAAATGTTTGTGTTCTGACATTTTTATTATTGAAAATTAAAAATATATGTGACCCTTTTTTCAGTATGTATATAGTTAACTGCATTAAGGGATAGTCCAAAACTTGTAACGCAACAAACTCCATACACTAGAGTAAACTAAACCAACTAATACACTGCCATGTTTCTAAGTTTTGTTTTTCCAAAAAATATTATTTCAACAAATAATATCTTTCTATATTTACTTAAATTGTCCAGTTATATCGCCATTATCATACATCCAGCAAACAAATTGAACTAACATTAAAAAATTAAAAGAAAACCTACAGACTTAGCCACATCCATCTTATATTTTTCTTGGAATTTTTTCCAGTTTTTTTAAACTGACTGGTTTTTGAGAAGGAAACAGGGCAATGAGGAATGATGGTTTTGTCAAATTTTTGTACATAGGTATATGTAGTCCGACGTGAAGTTATCTCCCCCCTCTCTCTCTCTCTCTCTCTCTCTCTCTCTGATATCCTCTTAACCTTTTAACTAAAGGAAACCAAAATGTATGTAGTATATATTTATATACGTAATTATTATATTTATACTTTTATTGGTTTAGTGTTGCCTTGGTAGAATTGTGATAATGCTGTAACTGTTTTTGTAATAAATATTATAAATATATAAAATACCTATTTTATATTAAAATTTTAATGAATACTGTAACTTTAATAATTAATAACTTTAATGTAAAGAATACTGTAACATGAAAAAATTAGAATACATAATATTATGTTAGACAGAACAGTAGGATTCTACCTTACCTGAGTTCACAATTTGAACCTTGTTTCTAAGAAGATATAAGTATATTAGCTGCACTCCCAGACTTCGATTTTAAGTTCATGAATTCATTACAGTCTAATAAAAGTTCATTGCTGAACAAAGGCCTGTCGGCAAATCGCCTCGGAGGAAATTTGTGGATGTTATATGTCATAGTTGCAAAGCCTAGAAGGCAAGTTGCCAACCGCAGCTTTATGCTTTGAGTTCATTCAATCATAAGGAATTATGTTTAATTTTCCCCTGTGGCCTCTTACGACATCCAGGGGGTGATATGGAGTACACCGCGACTATATGGCCTTTAAATAATCCTTAATAAATCACATATAATTTTGAAACTTATAATGAAAATCACTAACTTGATATTTAATTTATACTTGGTATTTATAATTATTTCTCATAACTCTCTTTTTGTTAACCAAAAAGGATTATGAATGTGATATCACATAAAACTGTTAGAAACATTTTTTGTTATTTTAGGTGTCCAAAAGGAAGGCTGATATTAATGAGGTTTCACCAGCGTTGATTAAGAAAATGAAAACTGAAGAGAAACATAACAATTTAAGAAGTAGTTTATTTGACTATTTAGATGTATAATTTTAAGCAATTAATCTTATATTGTAGACTACTATTATTAAGAATAAGCTGCCTTAGGATAAGTTTGAAGTATATTTGTCTAACACAAGATATCCTTGCAGGTTTTAAATTAGTCTAGATACACAATAATTTATACATAGCAAAGATTTAATATTACTTTCATTGATATGACTGTTATGTTTTATGTTAACTACTATAAAACTAAGTTATTTACTAATTCTAATATATTTTGTAAAATTAAACGGAAGTATAGTCCGTACGGATAAAGAATGGGATTATAAATGGCGACTCATCAAGCTCGTACCGTCAACATGCATAGTACCAATAGTGAAACCCCGCTAACAACGGTATAAGGTTATGTTATTCAGTTAAATGGAAATTTTCTATTAATGGGTAAATATTTGAAAATAATTGTAAACACAAGTAGGTATATTATTTTAAAAATAACATTTATAACTAGTGACCAGCTCTGGCATCTGGGTGGGATTTATTAATGTGACGTTATTTAGACTTATGATAATCATCAACGACCATTTATTTTATCTTAACAATATATCTATTTAAATAAAATTTAGTCTATATCACTCCTGGTATTCTCTCTTAACAATCCCTTTTCAAATATTAGCTCAAGCAGAGAAACAAAAGAAAATTAAAAAGAATGGTTACATATGTGTCAATAGCATGTAAATATTTGATACAAGAATTTTAACAAACGAAATCAACAATAACTATGAAGAAAATTCTCAGAACGCGTCATAGCTCACAAATTAGTAGTATATACGACTTTGTTATCATTGATACCAATGACAAGTTATAGAACGTACCGAAAAACGATTATCGCAACGTATTTCTTGCAGTCTACCGGGTGTGGTTATAGGTAACGACTGTGTGAGAGCAAACGGTGAATAGAGACGACGCCATTTTCAATCCCATTCTTTAACCGCGCGGATGACACTTTTAGTATACAGACTAGTGAAAAAAACTTTCATAAAATAAATTATTTCGACTGAAGTTTCTTTATATATAATAACATACTTTATATTTATATTTTCTTGTCGTGAATTTGGGAATATACGTATTAAATATTTTCTGCTCAAAGGTTGAGCGCTAGTCATAAATTTCGTAAAACGCCGGTAACTCTTGTTAGTCTTGGCTACAAGTAGCGAAGGAGTTATTAATCGAAATTTTACGTGCTGATTTACCACGTGCTCGGCGGTGAGGGGAAAACATCGTAAGGAAACCTGTGTGAGAAGTTCGCCAACACGCAATGCAGCGGATCTTTATTCAGAATTTAATATGCATAGATTATTGGCAGATCTATGAACCGCTGTACACATCGTCGTTGCAGACACCCGCAAGTGTGAGTAACGATCAAAAAGCAAGTCGGATCCTACACTATTCCAGTGATATCCTGGCCGCTTGTCAGCGCAAGATTAGAATGACTCTTCAACATTTTAAAAACAAGAAAGTGCAAAGTGGTTGAGCACAGGGGGAAGCTGTTCTTTCCCTTGATGCCTCGAAGGCCTTTGACAGAGTTTGGCACGGTAGCCTTTTGGGCAAGCTTTCAGCGTACGGCCTATCCCCTGGCCTGATAGACTGGGTGAAGGACTTTTTGAGTGAACGATCTATCCTGTCGTCGTCGATGGCCGCTCATCCAACCCTATCGCAACAAACGCCGGAGTTCCTCAGGGGTCCGTTCTCTCTGCAACTCTCTTCCTCATGAATATTACTGATCTGCTTATTCCCTATATCTATGGGTTTGCAGACGATAGCAAAGTTGTGGAGGTACCACCCGAAAACTCCGGCCAGTTGGGATTCAAGTCCAGTCTGAAAGAGAAATTATGGTTGAGCTTGTAAATCTCTCATTGCAAACAATTTACGAGTTACGATTCAACGCCTTCAAAACATAGGCGTTCCTTTCACTGCTAAAAAGAGCCCAATCACCCTGGCACCTACTTTGCGAAATGTATCTTTGGAGTACGTTGACCGCCTTCAGTTGTTAGGGGTTGAGATTTCTCCGAAACTCAACTATGGGTGGTTCATTGAGTTCACGGCCGAAGCAGCCACAAGGAAACTAGGTGTCCATGTAAGGGTGCGGCGGTACTTCACGCCGGGGCAGCTTCTTATCCTATATGCAGCGCAAGTCCGATCTGGCTGGTGCAACAAAATGCCACCCAGCAGCGTTGGAGTCAGTGGGGAGACGTCCTAAGGAAGAGGCTCATTGGTAACCCTTGATTCGGTTGAAACCAATCTTGCCAGCCTCAAGCACAGATGTAAAGTAGTCTGGGTATTTTATAGGATGCATTTCGGAGAATGTGTGCGGAATAACATGCATTAATTCCTCCCTTTCCACCATAATCGGACAACCAGATGGTCGGCGGATCTTCACCATTTGTTGCCGATATTCCACGCATTAGAACCAAACAGTTTGCTTCATCAATAATTTTCTGGCGTCTATCCGTCCGAATACAATCTGGGCGTCTTCAAAGCAAGAGTGAATAGGCTTTTGTTACGCAAGAGAGAAGACTGCGATTTACCATCTAAGGCTGCATCACCACTTACCACCAGGTGGGGTTGTGGTCAAGCACTGGTTAATAGTTAGTAAAAAAATTGATGAAATTTAAGGGTGGAGTACCAATAACCTTCAGATGCTGTTCAGTTTTACTCTAGAGCAGTAGACTCGGAGGCGTGGAGCAGAAGTGTGGTAGTTTTGTTCTTCAATATAAGCGACGTAACGATCTTCAATATAACGATTTGACTGCCTTGTTGGTCTAGTGGTTGTAGTAGTGCGACTGCTGATCATGAGGTCCTGGGTTCGAATCCCGGGTCGGGCCAATAAAAATTAATTATTGAGTTTTTCCGTTAATAAATTCTCAGTAGTTGCCCGGAGTCAAGAAGTTGACGGTGTCTCAACCCCGTGCCTCGGAATGCACGTAAAGCCATTGGTCCTGCGCCTGATCTCTCTCCGGTCGTGTCGGTTTACCCTTCCATCGGATTATGAGAGTGAGGGAATAGAAGAGTGCACCTGTGCATGTGCGTACACTTGGGCACTATAATCCTGTCCTGCGTCGATGGCTAGTCTCCGTTGAGGCAGGCCGCCGTGGCCGAAATTCGGTCTGGAGGACATTATTATTATTATTATTATAAGTGACAACGTCCTATGAAGAACTACAGACCGATTTACCTTATAAGCCGCATCTACGTACTATTTTCGAGAGTCATTACGAATCGTCTCGAACGTAAAGTTGACGACTTCCTGTCTCCCGAACAAGTCGGTTTCCGAAATGGCTTTAAGTACCATAGACCACATACACACTACGAACAGTTGTACAGAAGCCCGATGAGTACAATCGGCCACTTTGTCTCGAGTATATTGACTATGCGGAAGCCTTTAAAACTCCTTAGAAATTTGGGCTTTAATACAGTCCCTTCAGAGAGGCCAGATTGACTGTCGGTATCTCGAAGTTCTGAAAAATTTTTCAATTGCAGAGAGGTGTAAGACAGGGTGACGTTAGATCCAGAAACTCTTCACCGCTGCATTGGAGGATGCTTTTAAGCTAATGGACTGAAAAGATACATGACAGTGGAGAATAGATCATTCACTTTCGATTTGCCGATGATATAGTTACAAGCAAGACTGACTGGACCAATGCTCTACAAAATAACCTCGGTAGTGTTACCCAACGGATAGGTAATAAAATGAACGTAGACAAGACAAAGATCACATTGTGTAACGTCCAGGTTACACCTATGCCGGTAGTTGTTGGAAGCACTACATTCGAAATGTTTACCTAGGAAATATTATCCGTCTAGGTATGTCATACTTTTACCAAAATGTCAATCGACGGATCCAACTCGGCTGGACAGATTCCAGGAGTTTATAGCAAATCTTGTCTCGTATTTCTCAAAAGTATGGAGTGTAGAGGTAAAGAGAACCAACTCTCAATATAAAAAAGTGTCCGTAGGAAAGCGCTAAATAAGGGTGGCGCCACTGTAGCTAAAGTGTAAATTTTAAAGAACTTTTTTATAATTTTTTATTGCACAGACTCACCATAATTCTTTTTATAAAAATTATTTTATTGTTTTCAAAATTTTTATTTTCAAAATCACACAACGTGTTTTACGGCGACTATTTCTAGGTTATATTTACTAAATTATTTAAGACAAAGTAAGTGGTCGAGGCTTTAAATACTGTACTTTCATCAATTACTCTAGTCACCACGAATATTAAATTTCTCATCTCAGCACACTTTACTCCGTCGACAACTGCTAAGTTCACTTCATACCCTCTAGCTACTCGAGCGCTGTTGTGGACAGTTTTTGAACTGTTTTTTAATGCTTACAAATGGACACATTTTCAACTAGTCTCCTATGGGAGATTGTCCTCCTTACCTCTATACTCCATGCTCTAAACCAAGCACCATCTGGTGAAGTAGACTCTGCAGGTCAACTAAAGTAAAGCTAGAGGCGATTTTCAATCTAGTTAAGACATTATTTTATTTTTATTACACGGATCTTAACTAATTATTTTCAAAGTTAAACGTGGTCCTCCACTGTTTGTCGCATAAACAAACTTAAGGTTGCCCAGCGAGCTATGGAGATGGCTATGCTCAGAGTTTCTTTGCGCAATAGAATCCGTAACGACGATATCCGCAGTCGAACCTACTCTGGTATTGCTGCCGATATCCAACGTATTCCAACAGATCAGTGAGTGAAGTGGCAGTGGGTCGTCCATATAGCTCGATGATATGAAAACCGATAGAGAATCAAGGTTATCGAGTGACAGCTTCATACTGGCAAGCGGCGTGTAGGACGGCCCCTTTCTAGATGGAGTGACGAGCTAGTGAGACTAAGGATGTTTGGAATTCGATGAATGCAAGTAGCTTTATAGTGCTTTGCGGCATTACTTGGAAGAGATGTATGTTCAGCAATAGACTTGAAGGGCTGTGATGGTGATTACGAAATCCTAAACAGAACTCCGTATGTAATGATTTCTTAAA